TAGCGGGGACCCCCTCTGTGGACAGAAACTGAGTAGACGGCGCACCTGCACGGCAGGGGGCCGAGTGGCCGGAAGCCCAGGCCGCTCAGACCCCATCCGCGCCTCTTTAGAGCCTCTTCAGTCTCCGAAAGACTGGAGGGAAGGGAGGAGACGCCGCACAGGAGGGGAACTGGGGTCCCGCCCAGCGTGGCTCCAGGATAGGAGGCAGGGAGGAGAGAATAGCAGTAATTAGTCGCAGCTGAGCCCTGGTCCTGCTGACCCGGGATAAACACCGTCCACACCTACTTCTCATCTAATCCTCAGAGAAACCCTAAAGCAGATGCCAGCGTATTTCCATCCCTCCGCAGAGGCCCAGAGTGGAGAGGAAGAGGAGGAAAGAAGAGGGCAGGGAGAGGGATATGGAGGGAGGGCACGGGAGAGGGCAGGAAGGAAGTATAGGATCTGGGACAGCCCAACTACCGGGTGGCACTTGCCCACAACCTCCCTGCCTTTTGTGCTTGGCCAGGGACAGTGTTCCCTCCTCCTGCAGGGAACCAACAGCTTTGTCTGCTAGGAAGGCTGTCTCCAGCCTCTGGGTGACATCTACCTCTGGGGCACCACCACAGCATCAGATGTCCCTCCTTTGTCTTCCCTCTGGCCAAGTGGCTCGAAGGTCCTGAGCCTCAGTTGTGCCGTCTAAGACCCAGAGTAGTCATGAGAATGTGGTGACCTAGAATTGAAGTTCATGCAGTCTGTGCCTACAGCCCACAAACCACCCTTACATTTTTGTACCCTTTTGCAGGTCCTACATTCCTGTGAAGCTCAGACCTCCTTGCTCCCAGGACCCACCTAGCTATGTAGAAATTGCCTGGCAGCTAGGACTGGGGTGGGCACAGATTTTGCAACCGATTACTTGTAACAACTCCAGTCCCACTGTTCCCAGCTGTGAAGCCACAGGTAAATGCTTTTTGGCCTCCATTTCCCCATCTGTAGGGTGGGGTATTCCCTTCTGACCCTGGCCACTGTGGGACAAGGAATACAATGGATGAGAACGTAGCTGTCAGCCATACGAATGGGAGGGCTGGTAATGTTGCAATGTCAGGATTCAGCTCATGTTCCCTGAGATCCTAGGGTCTGATTGGCCCAGGAAAAGTCCCAACAAAGCTGGCCTGCTTCCTGCACAGGCAGGGTGGGCCAAGAGACTGTAAAGACCTAAAGTCTCACTTCCACTCCGAGGAGCGTGAACAGCCGAAAGGGCCTTCATGACGCTGAGTCCTATAGCCCAACGATGGCTCCAGATGCAAGACCCAAGGCCTTGCTTCTGGGAGCCTTGAACAGCCCAAAGGGCCTCCAAGATACTGGGACCTATAGCTCAGCGATGCTCTGGGAGCTCAATGAGCAGCGAGAGTCACCCAGGAAGGAACACACCAGGCTTGTTGGTAAATAGACCTTTATTAGTCTGGCCAGAGGACAATCTCAGAACTGAGCAGCTCAGAGAGGCCCAGCACAGGGGTTAGCACAGTTTTTTAAAGGCAAGGGAAGAGGATTGCAAGCACAGCAAGTGGGCCAGGGGTCAGGGGGTCCGTTTTCTGCCATCTTTCTAAAGAAGTCAGCTATAGGGTGCACCTGGTCTTTCATCTCCAGACTCAGGCTGTTCTGTTCTAAGGAGGCCTTGAGTCACTACCTTGTTTACCTGTACCAGGCTTCCACACACTCTGTTTTAATCTTATCTTGGAGCTGGGTAGAAAGAAATGTGTGCTGCTATATGCTGGCTAACTAGGGGTTACATAGCGGTTAGGGTCCCACAAGACACAGCCAAATAACTACAAACCAGAGGGACAAATGCAGACCAATTTTAGATGCCTTGAATACTGGGCATCCCCATGAGGTGGGCAGGACAAAGGTTACTCTACTATTAGCTGGATGAGGAAATGAGGTTCGGATAAATCAAGTGAGTTGCTGAAGGTCACAAAGCAGTCAGGAGCTGCAGCACTGGGTCTTGATCCCAGTGCCCACTGTACCCTAGTGATACCAGGTGTGTCGAGAAGTGTTCTGGAAGAGCGACTTTCCCAAACTCTCCAGTGCTCAGCCGGGTTTGTGACCTGAGAATCCACCTTAGCTCTTTGTTCCTTTGGCTGAAGGCACACATGTATCTGTGGTGTAAATTAAATGGCCATCTGTTTCACAAAGTTTGGTCCCTGTGCATGAGAACTGACCCCAGGAGCCATGAGACCGCAGGAAGAGGTGGAAGATTTAGGATTGCACAGAGTGCAGTTTATTAAATTCCTTAGGGAAAGCAAGGCAGGCAGATCAGGTACCCCGAGGGAGGAAGAGGGATTCATATGTCCAATCTGAAAGGCCCATGGCCAGCTAGAACATACCTGGTCTTTCTTAAAAACTACTAGCATGTTTTTAAAAAAACACTACTAACCTGTTTAAAAACAAACCAGGTGACAGTGGCCAGCACAAAACGCTCAGGTTAATGACTCATTGGGAAGCATCCCAGGCTTACTTGGTGGCACTGTGGCTCCCAGGGACAGTGCCTCCAAGTGCTTCCTCTTTACCTGAGCCTGGTCCCAACCCCAGTCACTTGTCCTGCCAGGCCCAGAAGCCCAGGTGGCAGGATGTGCGACATAGGGCCCATCCTTGGAAAGCCCCTGTTTGTTCCTTGGGAGAAACAGCAGTACAGGCTTCTCCTGGGAACAGACTCTAACTGGGTCAGGCCAGCACCTCACCTGGGCCAGGAGGACTTCCTGGTCTTTTGAAGGGGGCCTAGCCCAGAGCTTCTGGGCTTGCATGGCAGGAACAGGATGTGAGACGGGGGTCTTGCAGGTTGGTCCTGCTCTGGCAATCTCTGCCTGATGGGACTCCCCAGCACCTTCTGTTTCTTGCTCTCCTGGCCTGGTACAGTGACATATAAGTGCCAACCCAGCTCATACCTGGGACAGTGAAGGGAGCTGGGGGAGACACCACCCTTTCCTTCTGGAGCAGGGATGATCCCCAGGGTATTAAGGGGCTTGCAAGGGTGACACTCTCAGTGGCCTTTCTGTGTGCCTCTAATGATGGTGAAAGTTTCTGTTCAGGGAAGGAGTTGCTAGGGTTGCCAAGTTCTCCTGCTGTTGTTCTTATGACATCAAGGGAGGTCTTGGGCCTCCACAGCTCCTCAAGAGAGTGATCTTGGATGGAATGTGGCTTCTAACAATGTCACCACCTTAAAATTTGGAGGCCTGGGGTTCCCACACTGGACTGGGGATTGGTGATCTCTTTCTGCCAGGAACCCTTTATGAGTCACCTGCCCACACCCGCAGTCCTCCTGGTTGGCCTCCTGAGTCAGACCCTTGCTCTGGGCTCTGAGGGAAGAAGAAAAACAGGCCTAAGAGGCCCTTGCAGTGGGCATGGAGGCATTGGAAGGAACCTAGCTCAGAGGGTGATGCCCGCCCCTCCAATCTTTTAAACCTGAAGGACTATCCCACTACCAAGTGCTACCTTAGCCCTTTCCTCCCAGCTCTTTCAATAAAGGCCAGACTCCCTTTGCCACCTTACTGGTGTGGACCCTGCCTCCTGGGCTGGCCTCACCTCTCCACTTTTCCTTTCTTGCCTCTTTGCTATGCCAACATCCTTGATTTCTTGAATCTGTCATGACTTCTTCTACCCCAGGGATTTTGCACATGCCAGCATCTTATGTGTCTTAGTCTGTTCCCTGCTGCTATAATAGGATACCTGAGACTGGGAAATTTATAAAGGAAAGTTTACAAGCCAAAAGGTAAGCTCATGAAAGGAACGAAACACATGGGGCAGCCTTGTTTTATAACAACCTGCTCTCACAGTAATAACCCAGTCTCAAGAGGTTGGAACTCACTTTGGTGAAAATTAACCCAGTCCCTGGATAAAGTCATTAATACCTCTTAATGACCTAATCGTCTCTCAAAGACACCACCACAGTGGCAGTCAAACTTCAACGTAAGTTTTTTTGGTGGGGGGTGCAAACCTATTCAGCTCATAGCACCATACTTTTCTTCGCCCAACCTGGCTAGAGTGGTGAGAGGGATTTTCTCCATACACCTGGAGAAAACAGAGCCTGGTACTCCCACAACTGAGATGGTACGAAGAGTCCCTTTGGTGCTGTAGCCTGGGCTGGGGAGGGAAGGAAGGCTGGAGCGTAAAAAAGTGGGCTGGGAATGTGCTCATGGGACGCTTCTCTCCCGCATTAAAGCCACATTGATTTGCCTTCCTGAGGCTGCATCTTCCTCTTCTCTTACTAGAAACCAGAACTCTGTGAATCCCTCACTTTCCCTGCCCTCCTCTACCCCAGCCTCACTTTCTGACCAGTGCTAAAACCCCCTGGGGCAGACAATGAGTCATATCCTTGCTTCTGGCTCCTGCAAGAAGCTGGTCAGATTTTTAATCTTTGGCAAGTTGAAATCCAGTTTTTCTAGCACTATTTATTAAAGAGGCTATCTTCTTCCAGTGAGAGTATTTAGCTTCTTTGTCAAAGATGAGGTGGTTGAGTATATCTGGAGTTGTTTCTATACCTTCTAATCTGTTCCACTGGTCCACAGGTCTGTTTCTTTGTCAGTACCATGCTGTTTGTATCACAGTAGCTTTGCATCATAGTTTCAACTTGGGGATTGTAATACACCCTACCTTGTCTTTATAGACCTATATCTCTCACCATGCACAAAAATAAAATTAAAATGGATTAAAAGTATAAATGTTAAAACAGAAACACTAAACTGGCCTGAAGAGAGGTTAGGTAGAACTCTTGAAGCCATTGGTGTAGGAAAAGATTTATGAACAAAACCTCAATTGCCCATGAACTAGCGCAAACAATCAACAAGTGGGATGTCTTCTTATTAAAAACCTTCTGCATAGCAAGAGAAATGACTAACAGTGTGAAGAGACAGCCCACAATGTGGGAAAAATTTTTCACCAGTTCTTCCTCAAAGGTCTACTATCTAGAATATATCAAGAACTTAAAAAAAATCAGACCTCCCAAATTTAAAGACCCAATCCAAAAATGGGCATCTGAAATGAACAGACATTTCTCAGACGAAGAAATAGAAATAGCAAATAAACTTATGAAAAAATGTTCAACATCGCTGGTCATTCAAGAGATGCAAATGAAAACAACACTGAGATTCCACCTCACCCCAGAAAGAATGGCCGCTATCAATAAATCAGCCGACAACAAATGCTGGTGGGGCCGTGGGGAAAGAGGACACTGCTCCACTGTTGGTGAGATTGTAGACTGGTACAGCCACTGTGGAAATCAGTATGGAGATAACTCAAACAACTAGGATTGGAGGTCCCATGTGACCCAGCTATTTCCCTGCTGGGTATCTTCCCCAAAGAATTAAAAGAATCATACCACAGCGATACATGTGCACCCATGTTCATAGCAGCACAGTTTGTAATAGCTAAAACTTGGAAGCAATCCAACTGCCCATCAATGGGAGACTGGATAAAGAAAAAAAATTTTTTTAATAAAATGAAGTACTATTCAGCCATAAAGAATGAGAAACTAGACACATTTATAGCTAAATGGATGCATATTGAGGTTATAATCTTAAGTGAAATAAATAGGACATATATATGTTAATACTGAATAGTTTCTCTAGTGTGAGAAACTGAAAGTGTAAATAAGGACTAAAAGGTGTAATAGATAATGTGAAATAGGAAGAAAAGGTGCAAAGGGGAAGTGGGAGGGGTAGGGGAAAAGAAAGAAGGGAATGGAATTAATATGAGAAGAAGAAAAAATGGAAACAAAGTCTTTGTAGATAGGGAGGGGCAGAGGGGTTGAAGGGAGGGCGGGGGGATGGGGAAAAATAAGAACCAAGATGGAAATTATGTAAAGGTGCACATTTCCAATGATGAACATCATTACATTGTATACCTTAAATGTACCAATAAAAATAATTTTTAAAAAAGCTAGTCAGAGGAGGAAATCTTTAATAATGGCAGGGCAGAGGGTAGAAAGGACTCAGTGCTGTGGGGCAGGGCAGAGGCAGGGTCTGAGAGACGCTCCCTGCTGACCACCTGCATCTGGGACCCTGGAGAGAATGTAAAATTATCTGAGGTGTCTGACTGATGAGCGAAGTGCATTGCTGAGTAGGGGCCTAAGCAAATGGGTCGTGTTCCTGGACCCACACTGCTGTCCCCTCTGTCTCTAGCGTCCTTTGTCACGTGGTCACGAGTAAACTCCTGCCCAGTCTTTGGGATGTGGCCAAGGGTCCCCTCCTCCACTGGCCACTGGAAGGGGGTAAGAGGGTGTGTCTATGTGTTCCCAGCCAGACTGTGGAAGATGCCATTGCTCAAGATGACTTCCCTCCTGAGCCAGGAAGTGAGCTCCCCCACCCTACCCAGCCAATCAAGACTTTGGGTACTGGGGGAAGTGATGGGTGCATCAGGGAGGAAACCAGGTGGGATGCAGGGTCCCCTAGGTGCCCCCTGATGATACTGCTATGTGTGGGTTTTGCCCTGGGATCCAAGCCTGGCTGCAGCCTTCTGCCTGCCACGCTTGTGAGATGCTCCAGGTCCCAACAAACCTTCCCTCTTTCAGTTTGCCCTATGGCTGGATTCTGTTGTTTGTTCCAGAAAACCCTGATGGACACATCATCTTCGTCTCAGCCACATGGTGTCTCACAGAGCCTCAGGCCTGCTGGGTTAAGGATGGTGCACATGTGTAGCTGCTTGGTGAACTTAAAGAGTTGCCGCTGGGTGTGGTGGCACATGCCTGTAATCCTAGCATTCTGGGAGGCTGAGGCAGGAGGATTGCAAGTTCAAGCCCAGCCTGGGCACTTAATGAGACCCTATTCAAGAAGAGCCTGGGTTCAATCCTCAATCCTGAGCGGGGGCAGGGGGGGGAGCTGCTAGTAGAGGATGTGTAGGTGATTGGCACAGAATCCCAGAGACGCTCATCTTGATCTAGCCTGGAAGGGTGAGGGGCGCTGGAGGGCTTTGAGGAGGGGCCACCTGCCAGAGAATGGGCTCATTGCAGGTGGCTCTGGTGTAAGAAGGACAGGAGTCTGGCTGAGAGTGTGAATTAGAGATAGTTTGGAAGGTACTCAGGGGCCAGCCAGGCAGAGCCTTGAATCCCGAGGTGAGCAGTTTAGACTTTTCCTCCAGGCTCTGAGGAGCCTGCAGAGGTTGACAGCAGCTATGGAAGGGCTGAAAAGGGGTGGACAGCCAGGGCTGGACTTGCCATACTCACCCAGCAGGAGGGCAGAATGGGCAAGACCTGTCCTTTCCCTGCCCTGTCCCATTTCCCCCCATTTACAGAAGTACTCTACCTCCTAGAACCTGGATACAGCATTTTAATGTCAGTGCCCTTTAGGTCAGGGAGAAATTGGGAGGCAGTTTCCACTCCCTATGGCACCCTGACTCCACTGTGATGGAGGGAGATGCCAGAGTTCTCGTGAGCCTTCCAGTCTGAGCTCCATCTCAGCCTCTGGGGCTCCTAGTTCAAGCTCTGGAGGAAGTCCACCAGCAGATGTTCCGGGAAGCCAAAGTCCATCTGCAGCAGCAGAGAGCCCTGCGAGGGGTGGGGGTGAGAGGAGCAGGCTGGGCTGGCTCCCAGGGCACCAGGAGACAGCTGGGGAAGCCCCCCGCATGTGTCTCCAACAGCCACCATTCATGAGAGAATGCTGCCTAAGGCTCTCGCCCAGGAGTCCAGGCTGATGGCAACTTTGTACTCACATCCTGAGGGATGATCTCAGGGTTGATGATGTCAAAGAAGTGTAGGCCTTTGCTGTTCATGAGAATTGTGAGTGCAACCTGGAGCCCTAGGGCAGGGGAAGCAGTTTGTCAGCTCTTCTCAGGGAGCAGGGCCAGTCCAGTGCTATGACACCCTGGGCAGTGGGAGATGGTGGGACCAAGGTTCTTTGCCACATGGTTCACAGTAAGCTTCCTGCTTGGAAGGATGCTCGGGGAACAGCTGTCTCTCCCCAGACCCTGGTGGTCACTCCTCCCCGACGGCGCTTCTCCCAATGCTCTTTGCAACCACACAGAGCAGTCTCCCCAAACACCGGTTTAATCACCTCTGCAGTCTTAATGCCATGCTACAGATGGGAAAACTGAAGCTGGGAGAGCCCAAAACACTCACCCAGGATGATTCCTGCTTCTATAGAAATGCCAAAGCCACACGAACATGAACATACTCAAAACGCATGCCTGACCAGCTCAATATACCCAGTAGGGAAGGGAAAAAAGGCTTTCAGGAGGACTCTGCCCAAAATGCCTCTGGCACACCCTAGCCATGGGGTGTGAAGTTCCACCATTAGAATGGCTGCATATGGACAAATATCCAACAGTATCAGGGGTCAAAGGGAATTTGAGGATCGTTAGGTTGGACCCTCTCATTCTATAGGGAAAAAAACCTGAGGCTCAGGGCTGGGCTACAAGCAGGTCTCAATCTTCCAGCTGGTGGTCATTAGGAGACCTGAGCCCTTAAAGTGGGTTGGGGCTACAGTGGAGTGGCAGAGGTGATACTGTCAAGGTAAACCAGCATCAGAGGGCTGTGCATTGGTGTTCATTGCACCAGCAAAGAGCTGGGCCTTGAGGGAAGGGACCCAGGACCCATTGGTATTGGTGGCTGAGGGGTCAGAGGCACTTGGGGACCTGCCTGCGAGGAGCCTCTACACTGGGCAACTCGAAAGGGGGAGAAGGTGAAGTCAGCTCCATTCCTACCCACTGCCCAAGCCCACACTTACGAGACATGACCTCAGGAATACCCACAGAGGTGATCATCAACTTCAGGAAGCTCCGGACAGCCTTGCTGCTGCTCTGCCAATCAGAGGCCCACGGTGACCCTCAGGGCAGACAGCCACACAGCCTGGGTGAACATTCACCCCCTTGCCATGAAAAAGTAATCATGACCTATCCCTCTCCTCCTGTCCCCCAGACAGTGGCTCTCCTGAATGATCCCTCCAGACCCTAGGGAGGGCTAGGGTTCTTATGCCATTCACAGAGATCCAGGGAGAGGAAAGGCGGCCAGTACTCTTCTGCTCCCCCAGTCATACCACTATGACCCCATTTCTGTGACACAAGGGCTCTCCTGACAGACATAGTGGGGAGAAGAGTCACAAGAGACATGGAAGGACCATCTGATTTAATTTCTTTTGGTCCCATTGCCTGATTTCCTTTAAGGCCTTCTCCTTTCTTAAGGCATGAAGCCCAACAGGTCTTATTTCTCCCAAGACTACCTACCTCAGACTCATTGGAAGCAGTCTTTGGTGTAATCCTGAAAGAGAAGAGAGGTGAGAATTTGGCCCTTTCTTAAGGATATCTGGGACTGGTTCTCAGTGTTTCTGATGAATCCTTTTATGTTTCATGTTCCCAGTGGGGGGAAATAACAGTGAAACATAATACAATTTTTTTCTCTTCAAATTCCTGTTCTTTGAGTTTTTCTAGGTAATAGTTATGAATTTCATGCAAAAATTTAAATTTGCAACCTTTGGCATAAATGGTTAACACCTTGAAAGGAGAAGCATTTTGAAGCCTCTGGAGTTTGGTCATTCCAGCTACAAGGCCTTGGCCCACTTCCTCCTACTTTAGCCTCAAGGACAGGGTCTTCTCTTCCTGTAGCCAGACAACAAGTCCTGGAAGGAAGGTGCCACATCTCCCCACCACAACCAAGCCCTGTGCCTGACTCCAGGGCCCCAGGAGAGGTTTGCATAGCTGACCTCCCACCCCTCTGTACAGCACATACTGGAAATCCAGGAGGCTTAAGAAGAGCTTTTTCTGGGAATAGGAGGCCTGGATGGTAGTGATGATATCCTGGGGAGAGAAACCAGAATCACTGTGAGCCAGGGGTCTCCTGGAGCTGAGGGCAACCCTCCCTGCCCAGGGCTCTCAAATGCACTGAACATTCAGAGAGGTGTGAGGAGGAGTGGATCCCAGGGAATCTTGGGATCTGGCTGAGCTATTTGTCTTCCGAAAACTGGGAGAAAGTGGGGGGTGTGACTCAGTTGCAAAACACTTGCCTAACATGTTAGAGGCCCCAAGTTCCATCCCAGTATCGAAATACAAATATATATGTTCATGTGCTCGCACGCGCACACACGCACGCACACACACACACACACACACACACACACACACACACAGAAGGAAAATAAGGAAATTCCCCAGCACCAGTAAATTTGGGCTTAGGGCTTGAGAAATCATGTGAACACTTCCTCTCCAGGTTTTTGACCTACCCATGTTGCCAGTCTCAATGGAGCCAGATTGTGGGCATGGCTCACGTCCCCTGCCTCCAAAAGGAAGCCACCACACAAGCAAGGAGAAGCTTCCTGTACTGGCAACTGGATTTATCTGCATTTCCACATTCCAGAGACCAAATACACTAGATTGCTGCTTCTCTGGGTGTGGCCTTAAACCAGCGGCTACAGCATCAGCCAAGAGGAGGTTGTTGGAAATGCAGATGCAATGGTCCTACCCCAGACCTACAAACAAGACTCTGTGGCTACCCAGGAATTTGTGCTTTGACAGCTTGCCTGGGTGACGTTGACCCCCATGACACCAGCTAGCCTTCAAATATCCTCTGCACACTGAGTTCAATTTCAGATGCACTTGCCTTGACCACATATTTTTTATTTTTACTTTTTGGTACTGGGAATTGAACTCAGGACCTTGTGTTTGTGAGGCAGGCAGCGGCACCACTGAGCTAAATCCCCAGCCTACACGTATTTTTATTTCTTAGCCCTGGGTACAAATAGAGGAACATAGTCTTTGTTTGGCTAGCTAGTTACTATTTATCCTGACTATGCGATCAGGAATTGTATGGCCTGGGCCCAAAATAAGAACTGAACAGATTTTGCTGAAAATCAACAACTAAGTGTATCTACTGGGGGTGCAGAAACCACAGACTTCGGTATTAATGTAACATATGACCTTGAATGTCACATCGTGTCCTGCTGGTTCTGGCGCTCCCTCTGTTCAAGTGGAGAGGTGTGTACTCTGTCCAGGGCTCATTTTAATATCTGCAGTGCGGCCATCCTGCACAGCCCCGACCTGTCATCTCCCACCCCTGCTGTGGCTTCCACTTCTTCTTTTTGGCCTGACATCCTCACAGAAGTGGTGTCAACACAGCCTAATCTGCAACTGCATCAGCCCCAAACAACCACACTGGGATTGCCCCATCCCTGGCCCTGTTTACATCTAAAGTCAGCCCAGACACCTGGCCCAGGCTATCTTCCTGCTCTGGGAGATGTGGCCAAAACTCCTCAACAAACTGTCCTGGGGCACACAAGTTCCTAAAGACCACTGACTGTTGTATACATCCAAGTTCATGAGCAAGAAGGAAAGTCTTCAGGAGCCCAGACACTGGAGAAGTCAGGGAGACATGAAACAGGACATTGGGGAGGAGAGGCTTTGATAGTTGTTTGTTGCAGTCTGACAAACATTCTTTGCTTGACTTCAGTCTGATGCCAGAACCTGGCTAGGACCATCATGCATTTCCCTATAAAATCCAGTTTCAGTAAGAACCCTGCTACCTCGGTTTAGCAAGAATCCCCATCCCCAATGTCCAGTCACCTCATATGTGATCAGTTTCCTCATTTTCCACCATACCTCAGGTGATGTGTGGTTATCCTGGCCCATCTTCAGCTAGAATCTTGTTGGGTTGTTTTATCTAGCATCTTCACCCCTGCCAGGTTTCCTCTTAGTATTTTTCCATCCACTAACACCCTGTCTTCCTCTGCTCTTTGACTGTGGACGGATCCCACTCACTCACCCTGCACTCAGAGTTGAGCCTGGTGGCTTCCACCTCCCCACCCCCACTTCCCACTGCAAGCCCCATTGTAGCAGCCCCATCTTTAGGGCCATGGTCCCAAATAAACAAAGCCTGGCTAAGATTTAACAAGTGTCACCGAAGTTTTTCTTTCACAAGTACTTTGAACTTTTTAGATCCTTAAATAATAAGCAGTAAGTAAATAAAATAGGGCAAACTTTTTAAGTTTTTCAAAAGGCTAAATACATGTGCTCTTCTGGACCAAATTTTGGTGCAGACAAAGGAGATCAGTGAAAAAACTTGTGAGACTTCACCAAGCCTGGAGTTTGGGTGCCTGTGGTTTACCAGTGTGACTCTCTTAGGACCCACAGAGTGTGGTTCTGGGAGATGGTAATTATGGGGTCAATCAGGGGAGATGCATGTGGAAACCTCTGTCCTATTTCTGTAGCTATTATTCAGGTCTGAAATTATTCTAAAATTAAAAGTTTATAAAAATAATAATCACCAAAGGAAATGCACCCCATTTTCCCCAGTGGGGAGCTCTGGGCAAGGGGATTATCAGGATCTGGAGTTTACCACAATGTGCCTGCATTATTTTGGTCTTTAGTTTTTGATGTATTAAGAAATATTGAAGATAAATATACAGAAGGGCATTAGGAATCACATTGATCCTTAATTCTTTATTTACAGCTACAAAATCAAACAAACTATTTGTTTCTTTTGTTCTTTGTCGTTGTTCATTGGTTTTTTAGTCTGTTGACAAAACCTGGCTATTTGAATGACAGGCTTTGTGTAGTACATTATTCTTGCTTTGTGTGAATATTTGTATGTGGAGAATGTCAGTGTGCTTGGTCGTAGGGTCACCCTGTCCTATCCGGGGTGATCATCAACATGTCCCGCATGTACATACAATATCCTAATGTTCTAAAATCCACAGCATCTGAATTTGGAAAGCTATGTGACCCTAATATCTATGGATGGAGGGTTTTGGACTTGTGTGACAAACACTTGTGTCCCACCACTCAGCTGAAGAAAGAAAACATTACTAAGCCCATCAACACTTTCTGTGTACCACGAACCATGTATAAAACAGCCAGTCACAGCAGAGAGGGTAAGAAGAATCTGGAGGTGTCAGAGGCCTCCAAATCCGTTTCAGTGGGCCTATCTGCAGCTGAGTCCCCTGCTCCCAGCCTCCCCCGTATCCACCTCACCTCTTCAAAACTGTGAGCCACTGAATGCCGCCCATCTGGGTGTGGGAAGAGGAATTTCACCATCACAGAAGAACTGACCACGACGCCCTTATTTTGACAGGAGATCCTGGGCCTCGTGAGGCAATGGACGGTTACTTGGGCCTGGCTGAGAGGGAAGCTGCTGAAAAGCTGTAGAAGACAGGGGTCCCGGGGCCAGGATATAGGCCCATCAGCACAGCTGCAGCCACTGCCCTCAGAGATGGGAGGGCTGAGGAAAGGGGAAGCAGCTTGGGGTAGCGGCTGGGGCCAGGCTGGGATTGGAGGCCCTGAGCCCTAGGCTGTACTGTGTCTCTAATTTGCCAGTGACTTGGAAAATTGGGACTCTCACTCTCTCTGGACCTCAGTTTTCTTGTCTGTGTTGTATTGGAGCTACCTCTGCTCTGTCTGACTTTACTTAGCCTTCTGTGCCTCACCTTCTTTCTCTGTAAAATGGGACAGAATCATACCTAGCTCATAGGATTGCTGAGAGGTTGAACAGGATAATCCATGTGCAGAGCTAAGAACAGGCCCTGCTACATGGGAACCCTCCAACAGATGTGACTGTGCCTTATAACAATGTCCGTAGGGACCTCACAAGGCTGAAGCCTTGGGCCAGGCAAGGGACACAGCAGAGGGCCAAACAGATGTTTCTCTACCTGCAAAGCTCATTATCAGAGAATTCCAGAACTAAAGGCAAAATTGCAACTGAGGAGTATTTAAAAGGAGAAATAGACCCAGCTTTGGTGTAGAACCCACAAAGGGTAGAAGGAGAGTTCTTTCCTGAGGATGAGGAGGAATTGATGGGAAAGGGTGAGGAAAACCCTCCAAGCAGAAAGAAAAGCCTGGCAAGGGTGAAGTGAAAGGAGCAGGGCCAGTGCAAGGACAGGCAGGCAGTGGGCAGGGCCATGAGTATGGTCCGAGGTCAGCTGGGCAGAGCATCAGGTCTGCAGCCTGTGGGGCGGGGCTCCAGGGAGCTCTCCTCACAAACCGTGGGACCAATGGGTGCATTCCAACAAGAGGTTTTAATAATATGTAGCTGAGGTCAAAAGAAAGAAAGGGACAATCCCAGGTTCTCGACATGAAAAGCAAATTGAAAGCCACAGCTGTAAGCAAGACAGCCCTGAGAGATGAGAAGGATGTGGCTTCAGACCACGCTGCCCTGGGTTTGATGCTTGCACATTAAATGTAGTGACTATCAGAAGTGGAAATAAGACATTTCCCCCTCAGGAAAAGGGATGAAGGGTGTACATGAAAAACCTAAATGAGGATGCATCTAGATTAGTGAATGATGCAACTTTTGCATTCCTAGCAGAAATAAATGCAGAACTGTCCTCTTAGTAAATTTAGGTAATCCAGACAGCAGTCTGTCCACAGAAAAGCCAAATTCCACTAAAGACTAGCTTGCAAATAGACGAAAATGACAAGCAATAGAAGGGAGTCATCCACCATGAGAGCTAACTAGAACTACAACAAATAAGAGCTAAGTACCCCTGAGAACTAGCCATGATGGAATAATTTGGGAGAAACTACAAAGTAACTATTTTTTAAAATAATGATTAAAGAAGTAGAGCCCTAATACAATGACAGTATCGGGGTGGGGAGAGAAGAGCTAGATTTGACAAGGAACTAAATGAACTTTGAAATAGATGTTATTGGTAGTCAAATGAAAAATTCAGGGGATGAGTGAGCAGATAAGATATAAGATATAAAAAGAATCGACAAACTGAAAGAGATACAATGGACCCTCAAGTTACAACTGGCCTGACATACAAACCACTTGGGTTAGTTAGGTTAGTGGAAGATTCATCTGCCTCTTGTTATCCATAGCGTGTACCCAGGGAAACATTCAGATATCAGCTGAATTGACTTATGAGCAATCTGAGTTACAACCAGCCCTTGGGAACCAATTAAGTTCATAAGCCAAGGGTCCGCTGTATTTGCAGAAAATAGCTAGAATTTTGCATAGTGATATGAAGACATGAAAAATAGAACAACTAACTGTAGACATAGGAGATGGCATGAGGAGGTCCTAGAAATCCAAAGAGGTAAGAAGAGAGGAAACAGAAGAGAGGTAATAGCTGAGGAGATAGCCCTTAAATTTTCAGAGCTGATGAAAGACATCAACCCTTACACTAAACAGTTGTGCCGGGTGCAGACAACTAGACTGAGAAACAGACAAGGGCCAGACACTGCAGGATACTGGGTACTACACCAGAGAACTTTGCCTCTATCCATAGACTCTGATCCTATACCCCTGATGAGTTTTAACCTGGCAAATGAGCCGTCAGTTTTGTTTCTTGAAAAGATTGCTCTGGCTGCCATGACAAACAGGGATGTCGGGAAGTGGGGAGATCCACGATAGATTTCCACCAGAGACAGTGGTAGCTGGGCCTGGGGGTGAAGGCAGAGACAGAGATAAGTGGACGCCTCTAGAGTAGTGAGGACGCAGAGGTCAAGGGCATAACACTGGAGTTGCACGCCTGGAAGAAGACAGAGGCACACACGGGGCTGGGAGGGCTGAGAAGGGTAGATCGAAAGTTCAGAAGGGAAGCAGGCATCCTGCTAGGACCAGGAGGAAAACCACAGGGAGAGACAGGAGTGGGGGAGGGGGAGGGCTGGGAGCAGGAAGTGGAAGGGGAGGTACTGTTGGGGGTACCGCCCAGCTCTCTGGCCAGCAGGTGGTGTCAGTTCCTAAATTTGTGGAGAGGGAGGTCGTGAGAAGATGCAGGAGGGCAGCTGGAGACTTGAGGGTGGTGAGAAAGACCGAAGATGTTGGTGCAGAGATTGAGAATGAGCTGCCCAGAGGCTCAGGGTTTGCCCAGAAAGGGCAAGGCCCTTTGAGCTCAGGGACCACGGGCTCTTGGTGGAACCTTGCACCGAAGAGCAGGATCATGGGCATCACTGCCTCCAGCCAGAGCAGGCAGGGCTGTGATTCCCAAGGAGCCGACTTGAGGTTGGCTCTGGGGTCAGGAGTTGCCTGCAGTACATCCTATGGCTGGGCCCTGCTGAACCTTGCGGTGATCACATAGTCTTTGGAGCTGTCATAGCTGGCACAGCCCCGCCCTGCCAGTTCCTAAGTTCCCTGAATGAGCACGAAACAGGGTCTCATCAGTGCCTTGTGTCAGGGTGGTTGTGAGTGCTGAGGGGACTGATGCTTGGGGAGCGGGAGCTCAGCAGGAGAAGGGCCGTGGTGCAGTGATGTCCCTGCTGCTAGGATGGGCTGTGTGTGGGGCTCCTGCAAGAGCAGGATGAGGATGCACAGGGTAAACCCTGATCAGCAGGGCGGTTACCTCCATGAAGGTTTCCTGACTGATGTTCAAGGCCTGGGTGTGCAGTGCTGCCTCAAACAGACAGAAGGTGAACAGGTCATCTTCAGGGCACTGCAAGCCCCCACCCAATCCCAACCCCCTAGACAAGATCTGAGGTGTTCTGGGCAGGGTGTGAGGCAGGGAACCTCTGATCTCGCTGGAGGCCTGGCTTCTGCTCCCTGCTCTGCCATGCCAGGCCGTGTGACCATGAACTAGAAACCACCTAAGCATTTATGGTTCTGCAAAGGAGGAAGAGTGCAGGCTCTGGAGCCCCTCTTCTAAGCTGTGTGATCTTGAGCAAAGTTACCTACTCTTTCTGAGCTTGGCTGTGGTTTTGTTTTCTGAAAAATGGAGATGCAGTAGTACCTACCCCAACCGGCTAAGTACAGCAAAGATAAATGCAGTACAAATATTAACAGCAGCTTGCATTTATTTCAGTTACTGTGTTCCAAGCTGCATCTACACTTCATCTGCCTATCTATCTATGATCAGCTATATCTCTCAGCCAGCACACAGTGGCCAGTAGATGTCAGGCTGTAGTAAAGAGGCTCCTGTGCTCACCACCCTCAGTTTCCTCCATGGTCCCACACGTGTGCACACACACCATGTGCATACACGCACCACCCAGCAGCCCGCCCCTCACCTTGAACTTGTCCCCCGTCAGGTTGAGTGTGAGGCGGCCATCCTGGAAGGCAGCCTTGGCCAGGGAGTCCAGAACTTGCTCAGAGAACCAGAAGTAGAGCATGCGGGAGTCCCCCAGCAGTGAGGGTGAAAAGGCGGGCAGTATGAGGTCCTCTGAGACGTTTTTGTAGATGAAACAACCCTGCAGGAAGCCAGGACACTGGCTGCCCTCCCCTGATGAGCTCAGGGGCCAGCTTCAAGGAGATGACAAGGACCCCTGGAAAGCTTCTAGCTCAGAAGATAGATTGGAAACTGGGGAAGAGCTGCCCTCAGTTTCCTCCCAGCTGGGCCTTCGTGCACTGAGATAGATAGGTCCCCAGCACGGGTCCTATGAGGCATACCAGAAAGATGTTGTCCCCACCCTCACAGGCTGACATTCCAGCAAACGTGACAGGCCAAGCGGCCGGTGACCCAGGGCCTCTGTGTTTCCACCTGGTCCTGCTGGCTACCGGCCCTGCACCTTCAGTCCCAGGCAGCCAAAGTCAAGAAGGCAAATCACAGCCCAATTCCCTCCCCTCCAACATTAGGGAGCCTGAGGCTTATGAAGGGGCTTCATGAGCACCCAGAGAGACCTGCAATGTTCCTTTTCCTCACTTTTCTGGGCACAGGCTCCATCACAGAGATGGGTGGCAGTCCCTACAGTCTGTTCTCCTCTCAGAGTTTGGATTCTCCATTTCTTGGCTCATGGCTGCCTGGAAGAAATTCCTCAGTGCCCCCTGCAGCTTGGGGCAACCACATGAGCCCAGGCAGACCAGGGATGTGAGCAGGGTTGGGTCAGCTGCACAATACACAGCCTGCGAGCCTGACACCACAGAGCCTCCAAACCCACCCTGTACCGTACACAGGGCTCCAGGTGCAGGCTGTTTTGCAAGGGAAACAAATACCTATGGCTTTAAGGCGCTCTTCTGGTGGGTCTCTGTGTTCTAAGTAGCGCCATCCAGAGCTTTCATCAGATCCCCCAAAGAAGCTTTGGCTCACCCAAAGACTGCTATGGAGGATTACGGGAGCTGAAGAAGGAGCTGATGCTTGGCTGGACCCTCAGAAAGGGCCAGGAAATGCTCTGCAGAGGTCTGGCAAGGGGACACTTGGCTTCCATGGAGTCAAAGCTGGGGGCAGGTGGCCAGGGCACAGATAAGGACCTAGCCCGAGAAGCACCCAGGGAGGCCCTGCCCCATCTTCCCACCGAACCCACCTTGTGATGGGACTCCAGGTAGGTGGCTGTGATGATGGGCAATCCCGTCAGGGAGATGTCCACCCCGATGTCCCCATCAGAGAGGATGCTGGCTGTGGGAGGGGAGGGTTGTGGTGGAGCCTCTCTACACTTGGTGGCCCAGCCTGCAGCCCCAGGGCTCTGCTTTGTAAGATGGGTCCTGGTCCTGGAGCGCAGGATGCACTTTGCATTATGTTCTCCTCAGCTTCTGGCTGGCTGGGTGGCTCCACCATGCCAGGGCCCTTGTGGAAGACTGGTTCTGAGTCAGAGGTCCAGAGCAGTCCTAGCTTCCTCACCTCCAATGACTGTCTTCCTTGGGGCCATGTATTTATGCCATCAGTTGTGTAAAAGTGGGTGAGCAAATGTAAAAGTGGGTGAGCAAGGGGAGCAATTCTAATAATCAGTTTTCTCAGACTCAACTACTTAGTTGGTCCTGAGTTCTAGAATCCAGGGCTGGGGCCATCAAAAATTTTCTATAAAGGACCAGACAGAAAGAACAACAGGCTCTGAGGGCTCTTGGTCCATGACTTAGCTCTACTTCTGCTATACAAAAGCAGCTGCCATACAGTGCAAGGAGTGTGTACGGCTGTGTTCCAATAAAACTTTATTTACAAAAGCAGACAGCAGCACACATGTGGTCCTGGTATAGACCAGTGTGAAGGGCTGGAGAGCAGCATGGGAGTATAGGGCCCTGCTCCTTCCTCTTCCCTCAAGCCTACAACAGAGTCATAACCTTGGGAAACCCCGAGTCCCCTGGTGACCCCAAGAGACAAGCAAGGGCAGTGAGGAGGAGCGGAGTGTATGCTACCCAAGAAAACAGAGCTGTCCTGCCCTTTCTGCACTGCTCCTCTGCCTGGGCCTTGAGCCTGGAGGCCTGTCGTGGCCTTGGTGCTGCCTGGGGTCTCCCCTCCCATTATTCCTACCCACGTCTTCACTGCCCACATTGCCTGTTTGCTGAGCACCTACTATGTGCCAGGGGATCAAGACCAAACACATGCTCTCAGCCTAGCAAGAGAAGTCCCAGTGTACAGTTGCTGCTTGGGAATGGTTAGAGGACCTGGATTCGTATTCCTCTCCACTTCTGGGCTGGAGTGTCCTTTCAGCCCCATAAATTCATTTTCTCATAAGTAAAATGGGGGAAGCAGTGCCTTCTTCCCTGGGTCATCACAAGGATGCCAGGTCAGGTGAGAACAGTGTTTGGTAGGTAGCAGGTTCTGTTAGTTTTGTGGGGCAGGACAGCACAGCCCACTCCTCCCGGGACCTTCTCTGGTCTTCTGCTCCTCCTAGGGATGTTCCCATTGGACAGATGGCAAAGCTGAGTCCTGAACTGTCCCTTCTCTGCCGCACAGCCTCGTGAGAGCCCCCTCAGCCCCAGGCCAATGGGAAAGTGGGAGAGGCTCTGGGAGGAAGGGATTCCTCTCTCTATCTTATGCCGCCCGTCTTCTTCTGAGCTTCCACTGGCATTTGTGGCTGCTTACATTGTAGTTGATGTTAGGTTTGGTGCTAGGGGGATTGGGATGCTGATAATTCTAGTTATGAAAGAGGGCTGGTGATGCCTCAGGCACTGTCTTGTGCTTCTGACATACTTTTTTTTTTTTCCCACTCACTTGTCAGAGCTGCCCTGTGGGGCAGGTGCTATCACTCCACTTTTGTCTGTAAAGAACCTTGAGTTCAGAGAGGTTGAGTGACTTGTCCCAGGTCACACACCTTCCAGAGGGAAGTGACTTGCCATGGCCTGACTATAATTCATCAAGTGTCAGAAACAGACAAGGGGCAATGGGGGCATGACTGTCCCAAAACTCCACAGTGATGTGGGCAGCTTTCTGGGTACTCAGAAGTAGCCAGACTGAACTCACCAGCCCTCGACTGGACAAAGTCAGCCATGCCGTTGGAGATGACACTGATCTCTTTGCAGACCTGGAGAGGACAGGAAAGGTGCCTCACCAGGCAGGAAGGGAGGCCAGAGAAGAGGCCGGGTACTGCTGCCCTCTGGGCTCTGGACCACAGGTGTGTCTGCTGGCCTTGCTCACCTGTCCCTTCAGGACCAGCTGTAGGGTGAAGGAGATGAAGTTTGTGAACAGCCGCTTGATCCACCCGGGCCTGACGTGAGCAAGCACTGGACTGAGCCTCTAACCCATCCTGGGCATCCGGCCCACTCAGGACCCCGCCAGCTTCAGAACCCTCAGAAGCTCAGGAGAAAGGAATTGTCCCTCTGCACAGCTGAGAACAACAAGCCTCAGAGAAAGTCCCGGGCCCGGGCATGTCCACACCCCTCGAGCTTTCCCTCGAGGGTCTGGTTCTTGTTCTGTTCACATCTGCATGCAAAACCCAGGTTCATACATGCAGCTGCCTGCTCCGGGGCAGAGACAGGGCTCCTGCACCCTAAGTTTGCCACTGGTGCTGTGACTGAAGTCTCCCTGAGCCTCAGTTTCCTCCTCTGTGCAGTGGGGCTCTTCACAGCTCTGTGACAGAGGGGCTGCCCCAGACCAAAAGCCTCCCCCAGGAGGTAGGAGCTCAGGTCCTGGGATCAGAAGAGCTGCGGTTCCAATCCTGCTCCCACCTCTAGAGGCAAACTGAGTATCTATGAGTAGATAGTTTTTTCTTCCTTCCTAACCTCTCTCTGCACACCTTGCTTTACCCATATGGGAAAAATAACAGAGTCCACCTCCTAGCATCGGGTTGTATGAGGATTAAATCAATTAGCTCATGCAAAGATCTTAGAAGAGTGTACATGCTCAGAAACTATTACTTATTGTTATCTTTTTTCCCCCAGTATTGAGGATCTAACTCAGGACCTTGCACTTGTGAGGCAGGCATGGCAACACTGAGCTAAATCCCCCACCCTACTTTTAACTGTCTTCCCAGTCACTGAGTGTGCGCTGATGGAGACGGGCTGTGAATGACCGCTGGAGGCCCTGGTCCGCTCAGGCCTGGCTGCCCACAGGCGTGCCCTGAGGGGGGTGACCCTGGAGGGGCCGCGGGCCCACTACTTACTCATGCTCCCCGTGGAGATTCAGGAGCAGCTTGTGGAAGGACAGGTGGCAGTCGAGGGCATCGGTCCGCACTCTGCCAGAGTCACAGACTGTAGAGAGACCCCAACACCACATCAGGGCATCCCGGGCCACCAGGGAGGACTCATGGGCTGCCCAGGCCAGGCAGGGGCATAGCCCACTCTGGGCTCCCACCTCAGAACACCTTGTCTACATATCTTCCCTCCCTGCAGAGGCCAAGCCTCAGGCCAGCCTTCCCCACCCCAGAGGGAGCTGACACGTACTCAGCTGCGTGTTGATCTGGAGATCAATGGCAGAGTCGATCTCGAAGCCAACAGATTGATTAATGCTCAACCTGCAAAGAGCCAAGGACCTAGGACCCTCACTTTGCCCTGCAGCCCAGAGGGCCAGGGGCTGCAGGTCACCTGAAGGCAATGCTTACCCCCAGGCACTCATGTAGCCATAGTTCAGGGTCCCCTTGAAGATCACAGATACGTTTTGGATGGAGATATCAATGGACTTGGCTTCTGCCAGCTCCACCTGGCTGCTGGCAATGGTCAGGTGACTGATCTGGATGCTGGGAGAACAAATGGAATCGGGGAAGAGCATCCTGGGTGAGGGGTGACAGGGTCTTTGTGTCACCTGCCCCAGGAAAACCCTGTCTTGTCCTCCTGGATCTGAGTACACATAGGGAGTCACCTCCCCTGACATGTGTCATCCAGGACCCTCAACCAGTGAGTGAGTGACAGAATACCGTCCATACCCAAATCCACGGGAGCTGTGAGCACACTGCCTGACACAAAAGAGGGACTTTGCTGGGGCGATTCCTTAAAGACCTTGAGGCAGGTGGGGAGCCGATCCTGGATCCCCTGGGTGGATGCAAGAATGCTACAAAGTGGGAGAAGAAGGCAGGGAGGGGAGCTGGGAACACAAGACCCCGGGGCAGGCTGGCTGGAGATGGAGCCACGCAAGCCAAGGCCTGTGAGCACCTCCAGAGGCTATAGAGGAAAAGGCAAGGGAAGAGACTTCCCGTGTCAAGCTTTTAACCTTTTAAACTGTGAGGTAATAACTGTGTGTTGTTTGAAGTCACTAAACTTATGAGAATTTGTTATGGTAGCAAACAGGAAGTGAATACAGAGGGTTCTTGATAGAAAGAGGTGACCTGGGATGGGGGTTGAGTGGCTTGGCTCGGAAGGAAGCCTCAGCAGCCCTGAGGGGCCACACACAGTTCCTGCTTTAGTCCTCACTGCACCCTGAGCCATCACTATTGTTACTACTGTACCCACTGAGCAGGGACAGAACTGGTTCAGAGAATTCATGTGGCTTCCAAAGGCCTCTGAGTCACTGGGATTTGATCCTGGGTCTTCTCCACCCCAAAGCCTGTATTATAAACCACTGTGATGTACTGTGACCGGAAATTTGAAACCAAATCTTCCAAGCCAGGTGTGGTGGTGCACATATGTAATCCCACCACTTGGGAGGCTGAGGCAGGAGGATTGCCAAGATCTTGAGGCCATCCTGGGTTACATAGTGAGTTCAAAGCCAGTCTGAACTATATAATGAGTCCCTGTCCCCACCCTCCAAGAAAGAATCCAAGTCTTCCTGCTTTCCCTTCTCCTATTCTTTTCTATTCCTTTGAGAGAAAATAGTATAAAGAATGCTCACCGTACCCTTCATCTAGCTTCAACTGGAATCAGTGTGAATCAAGGGCTGTCACACATTACTCCCCCCATCAGTTTTGAACAATCATTACATTTGAATGAGATCTATTCTCAGATAGCCTGGTCTAAGGAATTATTGGTGGCTTATTAGATGCAATATCTCTGTTAACAACTCCAAGGCACTTTTGCAATCCCCGACCTCTTGGGACATAGGTCCAGGCTGTTATTATCCTCATTTTACAGAATGAGAAACTGTACCTCTGGTCACACATAGCGCTCCGCCCCCCCGCCTCCCGATCCCCCAAACGCAGAAGCCTTTCTCACGGAAGGCAAAGCAGCATTCCAACACTGTGGCGCCCCCTAGTGGCCCTAGGACACACACATGGGCTCCGGCTGTAAGAGGACCAAGGAATCTTGGGAAAGCCTTTCACCTCTGTTCAGCTCCTTTTCCGGGTGGGGAAGGAGGAGGTTGGTTTTAAGACAAAAGTAAGGTCCCCAGACGGTGTCTGCCCCACCGTGGGTCCTCAGACACATATAACGATGGGAACCCAGGCTCCAGGGAGAACTAAGGTATGGGAGGCTGGTGGAGTTCCAGGAGCCCAGCTCTGTGCTCCAATCTGCCTGCCTGGCTGAGTGACCTCCATACAGTTTAACTTCTCTGAGCTCCTGTTTCCTGATGTGTTAAATGTGATCAAGATAAAATAAAGTATTGTCTGTAAAGGTGCCTGACTATTACATCAGTCCAAGTTGAGTCAGGAGACCCTTGGGCCAGGAGATCCCTATACCCTGCCTCGGTGTCCTCAGGTAAGACCCCTCTTCCTGGGGCTGTGGCCTGGGGCCCTTTCGAGGCCTGCTTCCTATAGGGGCTGTTGGGAAGGCGGATGGGGAGCCCTGAGTTCTCCCAGCTGCCCTTCTTGTGTGGGGCCAGGCAAGTCCCTGCCTGTTCCCAGCCCTTGGCCCCTCCGCACCCCCAAGGCTGACTTACTTGTGCAGACCATACTTGATGTGGCCAAGCAGCACCACGGCCTTCTCACCCTTGATGTCGGGGTAGCTGGCCCGCTGGAAGGCTGTCTGGATCACCTTGGCCGTCTCCTGGTTCACTAGAAGGGAGCCATGGCCAGGCTCAGCCGCTGGGGTGAGGCTCTCACGGGCCTCAGAGCTCAGGGTCAGACTGGGCCTCCCTCTGGTGCAGTTCACAGGGGACACTGTCCTGACCCTGGACCCCAGTAGGAGATCCTGCTCACAACTCTGTCTCTGGATCCTGATACACAAAAACCCCATGATCCTGGTCAAAATGGTAGCCCCTGAGCCCACTGCCTACTTCCCCCTGCCTCACACAGACCATGCTGTGCCCCCCCCCCTACAACTGAATCTATAGCCCTGGATCTCATTTGAGGCCATTCTATGTTAGAGATTGTAGCGTTTCGCCTCCCTATTCCCTGGTTGTCCTGGGTAAGAGGATGAACCCCAGAGAGTGCTGCAGAGCTGGCCTAGGTCACACAGCAGTGACAAAATCTCCATACCCTGGGCTAATGCTGACGTCTGCAACACCAAGTTCATACTGACGTCGTAACCTTTGACTGCAATCTGAACTCCTCGCCAGGCTCTCCTCTGAAGTCCAGATTGACTCTGGACCCAGGCAAACACAAAACACCACACTTGGCAGTCTGCTGCCCAGCAAGGACCCTCTTACCAAAGAACTTGACCTTGAGGGTGAGCTCAGAGAAGAGATGGGAGAACCGGGCTCAGCCCCTCTCGTGGCCAGATGACCCTCTGTCTGGGCTAAGGTATGGCGACTCTGCCCGAGGGCTGGCTTCTGACCAGGTGGTATCCTTTAGAAGAGGCTCTGCTGGACTGACAGAGGCCTGAACAGAGAGATGAATGCTGTACTTACACACCAGGAAGGCAGGTTTGGTGATACGGCACACAATGCCCACTGCAGACGGGGGGCTCGTGGAGCAGGCATGGACACTGTCCAGCAGGGCCAGGCTCAGGAGGGCAGCAGCAAGCATGGCTCTCAGGCAGCAGCAAGCGAGTGGCCCTGGCTGGGCAGCCAGGCTCAATATGTTTGTCTGCCCAGCCCCCCACAGGACATGAGGCCCTTCCGGGAAGCAGGGCCTTTCTGGCCCCAGGGATTCACTTCCTTCTGCTTGGCCCCTGTGCCTGCTCTTGGGTTCAGAGCTGGGCGCTGGACCAGAGTGTGTGTGTGTGTGTGTGTGTGCATGCGTGCGCACACACACACACACACACACACACACACACACTTTGCTTTGACCGTCCATGCGATGTTTGCCACCCTCATGTCTGGACAGTAGCACAATATTAGCTGGATTATCTCTAACACGTGTCCTTGAATTTGTTCTTTTTCTTCTTACCTAGATAAGTGTATCTAAGAATAAACTTTATCTCTCCTTGCTGTAAATGAGAGCCCAAATACAATGGCCTTGACATAAAAACTTTCCATTCTCCCAGATGCCCCTGCGGGGGGTGGGGTGGGGAACAGCCTCAGCTGGAGGCCTACAAGTACCTGCCAGTTACAGCCCAAACAAAAGGAAGGGAGCCCCAGGGGGTAGAGACCCAGTGCCAACCTTTTTTTGCTCTCATTTGAACAATCGAAAGCCTCTAATGTTCTCCCTGGCTTTCCATGCTATACAATCTGCATCTGTGACACCATCTTGCATGCCCCCAGCAGCACATGGCTCAATCCTTGGGATGTTCTGCTTTAGAGAGCTTTGCATTTAGCCTCCCCATATACTTGTTGTTTTGAATAAAAGGCTGAGGCTCCAAGAGCACAGGGGAGCCAGGCAAGGTCACACAGCAGTCAGGGACAGAGTGCTTCCAACCTGGGCTCTAATTTTGGCCCCTGCCTGGGCATTCAGGGCCTGAGACACAAAGCTGCACTCTCCAATCTGCCCTCCTTGGAGTTCCCCGCTCTCCCCCATCACCTGTCTCTGGGATGGAATGTGCTGAGGGGCTCTCCTGGTGGGTAGCTCAGGCCCTAACGCCAGCCCCCCCTCAAAGGCATCACTGTCACTGTAGTTGCCCAGAATCAGAATTTTCTGGGTATCTAGACCGCTTGGGCCATGTGGCTCCCAGAAAGGAGAGGAGGAAGAATACCGTGGAGGAAGTACCTGCATGGCCAGGCTTAGACCATCACAGAAGCCCAAGGACAGCCAGGAGGAGGCCAGGGGAACACACAGAGGGCAGTGACAGGTGCACCTTGGAAGGTCTGGGGGCCTGGATCTGGGGACAGGGGCAGTGCAGACTGCCCTGTTAGCCCCCCCTCGTGTGCTCGGTTGGTGACAGGAGCCGCTGACGATGACCACAGCTCTCGGCGCCCTTTGTGGGCAGCCCAGCCTGGCCAGCCTCTCTCATTCCGAGTTCTCAGCTGTGCCAACCCCCTGACATGTGGCCTTGTTCACCCTGAGTGAGCTTCCCTGCTGTCTGAGTTTTTGTATTATCCATACTGTTTTTAAAAATAGGAGACAAGAGCCACACAACGGAGATGCAGAGGAAAGGCAATGAGACTGCTGGCTGGGCCTCCCCTCCTAAAGCCACCTGTTGGGGTGCAGTGGTGGGCAAAGCCTTCGCTCCTCGGCGCATTCATTCAGTCCTCAGATGTTTCCTGAGCACCCCCCCCACCACCGCGGGCTGGGCAGGGGCCCAGGGGTGGGAACCACAGGTGTGAATGAGGTGTGTACGCCCTGTTTCATCTCCACCCTGGCACCAGGAAGCCCCGGGTTATTTGCTGGATAACAACTCCCACGGGTTATGGGCTGTGGCTGGGCAAGTCTTCACATGGTTGGCTCTTGGCACGTAGTTGGGTGCGTGACAAATGCCTGTCGAGTGGGGTCTGCGATGTCCACAGACAGCAGGCGGTCGGCGGAGGGCCAAGTGAGCCCACTCAGCCCTTCTCACAAAGCAGCTCAGCCCCATATTTGCTCGCAGTCGGGGCCTAGGCTGCCCAGAAGCATACAGAGCAGGCTGAGCCCCGCAATTTCCCGAGGTTCAGAGAAGTTCACCTACTCACCCTGGGCACCAACCACCATGGGCCTCACTCACCAGGGCAGAGGCTACAGGATGCTGGCTTCCTATAGACTGGGTGGGAGCCACCACCATTCCAGGACTATGAGGATATCCTGGTGGCTGTTGTCCTCCTGGGTGTGTTTATGTTCCACTCCTGGGGCCGCAGAGGACAATGACCGAGGGTGCCCTGGCTGGTCCCCCACCTATAGCGCAGCCCAGGCAAGGGCCTGGCAGCTGCCATGAGACCCATGGGACCATGGATTTCAAACAAAATAAAGCAGATAGAAGCAACTCCAAGCCCAGAAGGGAAATTTAGGAGCCGGAGTCTTATACTCTTAAAATTAATAATCATAAAAATATCAACTATATTTTCAATTTATGAGTACCTTTTTGGGTATAATCTCATTTAGTGCTTTTTGTTGTTTTTTTAATGTTTTGTATTGTGGTAAAATTAAACCAAACCCTTAGACTTTACCACATTAGCCATTTTAAGCTGTACAGTTCAGCAGCAGTTAGCACAGTCACAGTGCTGTGCAACCATTGATCTAACTGAAGAATATTTTCCCCACCCCAGAAGGGAACCTCATGCCCCCCAAAACAGGCGCTCCCCATCCTGTGCTCCTGTCCCTGTGGATTTCCCTCTTCTGATCCTGTTCTGTACCTGGAATCTTATCATAGGCGGTCCTTTGTTGCTGGATTTCTTCATTTGTGTGTTTTCAAGGACTATCCATGTTGAAGCAGGTAACAGTGCTCCCTTCCTTCTTATGGCTGAATCATATTCCATTCACTGACCTCCACACATTTGGGCTGTTTCCTTCCTTACTGAATCTTCTAACCAGCCCCAGGGGCCTCAGTTGCCCCTGTTTTGTGGATTACACAGTGAGGTGGAACGACATCAAACAACAGGACCAAGGTCACACAGGGGTGAAAAGCTTGGATTAAAATGGCTGAGACCTGGTTCCCTAATTCTCTTGGGAAGAGTCCATCCTAGTATTATGGACAGCTAGGTTACAGGCAGTCAGACAGGGCTGGGCCACAGGGGGAGTCAGTGCAGAGGATGAGAACACATCACAGCTGTAAGGTAAACACATGGAATGGAGCCCCTGTGGTTGAATCCTGGTGACTTTAGAACAGGGAGTGACTTCGATGAACTTTGTAAGATTCACGAGATGGGTCTATACAATATCTACATGTCAATTAAGCATGTAGATTAAAACATTTTAGAAAGAGGGAGAAAAACCAGACTGACAGACACATGCACACACATGTGCATGTACACACACACACACACACACACACACATACTGCTTCTCACCACACAATGTCCTGTACTGCAAGGCCATTATGGGATGCAGACCCTTGACCTCAGACCAGGAAGTGAGCCAAAATAAGCCTATTCTCCTTATACCCTAGTCTGTGATATTGTGTTATTAACAATGGAAAGTGGACACATAGTGACTTCTGGGGCCATGTGTGCCAGGATGAGAGGTCAGCAGCTGGAACAAGAAGTCCTCCCTCCCAGAGGCCAGGAGAGCCCAGTCCTTCAGCTGGAAGAAGGGGAGGAGTTGTGTCCTCCTGTTTGCATCCAGGCTGAAGGAGGGATCAGCATTCCAGAGCTGGGTCAGTGACCCGGAGAAACACAACAGAGCTCTCTGGCCAGCACTGCAGCTCAAACCCAGACAGGGTCAATAAACAAGAGGCAATAAACAAAATAAAACAAAACAAAAAACCAAGCTTAATACTCAGCGCTTAACTCTTCCCAATTATTTCCCTGCAGTTTATTACTCGGCACGGTTGAGGTCACTGACATCTGCTGGATCTCTTACCAGCTTGCTGTAACCCTTACCAACTCTGCATCACCTGAAATTTACACTGGAGAAATTGACAAATGCTTCCCGCCCCTCTCCCAGGAGCTGTTGGTAACCTTTACCAGCACGCCACTGAGGAGGGGTCCCCAAACCTAGATTTTACCAACATCCTGCCCCGCTGTGTTCCGCCCATCAGCCAAGGCGTCTTCTTCCCTCTCTGCCTCGGGGACCTTCCCTGGTTTCTTCACTTGGACTCTAAATTCTTCCTCACCTCTTTTGTCTATATTCATATAGTTAACTTTGTATTTTAGCTACTTCCCCCAACCTGGGAATTTTAAAAAATATTTATTACAAATATAATTCATGTTCATTTATGGGAAAAAAATCAGACAAAGTGCAAAAAAATGATATAACCAGTGACTCCACCCACCTCCCTAGTGATGGCTGCTGTTTGTGTCCCTTTGAACACTTTGCCTTGTGCCTATGTGACAGTCATTTTTAGTGAGCTCATATTATTACAGACAGCTAAATTAGATAGAAATACAATAGGCAGCCAGGTAAGGCTAGGTCCTTGAGTTAAGACAAAGCTGAAACACATTATATGTGGTTGGAAACGCATCCATTGGAGACTGGGCCTCAAAATAAAGACAAAATGACTAGGCCTATATGCTTCCCCAAGGGACGAGATAAGTAGTAACACTGGGCCTAATAAAGTCTAGATAGACATCAGTCACCCCATGGTGACCAAGATCCCCAAACTCATCATTTCCTAGAAAAAGTCTTTGTTCTCTCTGTGCACACTTGTTCTAGGACTTATTTCCCCACTGGATCACTATTACCTAAGCAACTATACTTGTAACCTTATTGATTGATCATAGCTTTAACCCACATTTTACCCACATGGATTTTGCTCTATAAAGCTTTCCCTGTGAAGTGGGGTCCCTGGCTACCAATCTGGGACCCTTCCTGACTCTCAGGAGCTAACCTCTCAATAAAAATTTTCCTACTCTTAATCTACGTTACTCCTAGAATTCATTCTTTGATTTAATTTTTTATTTTCATGTTTTGGTACCAGGGATCAAACTCAGGAACTTGTGCTTACAAAGCAGGTGGCAGAACCACTGAGCTAAATCCCCAGCCCCATTCTTTGATTTTAGAGAACACAAACTTGGTGTATCAGACATCTAACAGATTGGGAAATACAATATACTCATATTCCCTCTCCTGTCTCAGTAATATTTACAGGTTCCTGGAATTAGACTAGAGCCTAGAGAGGTGGGCATTATTCAACCCACTGCGGTGTTATTGAAGGTTTTGTGTCCTTCATAGCCATGGGAGATCAGTTC